AATGATAAAATTTCAAAAGCACATTTTCAATACCTTTTGCAACAAAAGATTTAATCTTAAACTAAAAACGAAATTTCACTGCATATATTTGGCCCACGGCTTCGCGAATATATTGATTTTTGTATGTATAATGAGCTACACATTTATAAAAAATACTAAATATTAAATAAACAAAAATAAAATACTAATATTAAATAAACAAAAGAAATAGAGCAAAAACTGGTCAACATAAGACGTTTCTATCATTGACTATATCCTGTAAAAAAGAATTATAGAAATCGGTTCACGTGGTCCAAAGTAATGCGGTAACATATAGATATGTATATAAAAAAATATTCCGACGAGTTAATAGCATACTCTTTTTCTGAAGTCGGTTAAAACCGGTTTATCCGTTTTTTCTTAATTTCAAAATTGGAAACCAGTGTTTTTCAAATTGTAATTTTTCGAATAACTCGAAACAAGGTTTTGGAAAAATGGCGAATAGTCGAACACCCTACTACTCATCCAGTTGACAATGAACATTTTGTTAAAGGTTGGAGACCCTTTTTTCTTGGAAAGTCTTATTGCATATCCGTTACTTGTTGATTTTGGTTCTTCAGACAGTGGGAAAAGAAGATGCATATCTGTTTTGAGAAAACCCGGTTTCGAAACTCCGTTTCAACATTTTAAAGTATAGTATGTAGTGTCCCTAATATGTAAAGGCCTTATTTAGACTCTCTTCTTTGCATAATAGTTAGCCAACTTAATAAAAATTAAGTTCTTTAGTTGCGAACGTCTATTAAAGGATGCTTTTTTTTTATTAAAAACTAATAGTTTTTAGATTTCGTAAGATTTTTAGTGGGAAATTGCCGAATTTTTGGACAAAATCTGGAGGAAATTTAATTACTTAGCTAAAGCCGCTCTCCTTGTACCATAATATATCACACGGCATTACTTATAGTTAGGGAATTCACAAGGCGTGTTGGGCGTCGCAAAATCTTAAGCTTAACATTTTTTATGTAAAATAACGGTTAAAATGGTTTTAGAGGGGCTAATTATATATTTTTATCAGTTTGAAAATATTTCGGTGTAGTTAGAAACCACTTTAATCATTATTTTAGATAAAAAAAAATGTTAAGCTTAAGATTTTACGACGTTTAACACGTCTTGTGAATACCCTAATTGTGTTTGTCAGAAAACGCAAGAAAACTATTTCAGAGCTCATGAAAATCGTATATATGTACAAATGTATTAAGGTTACATTGACTATAATCTATTGGGACAAAATTAGATATTAGAATGAGTACACGTCCATTGAGAATTACATATGGTACAATTATAAATATTTAAAAGCGCTCAAATAAATCCATGGGTATAGATATGCATATGCATACGTATAAATATATATATGTACAAAAATACATAGAAAAAGTGTGTCTTAATTCAATTCACAACTTTTTTTTCCGCCCAATCCATTACTGCAATTTTCCCTGTTCCATTAAAAATGAACGTAGTCGGGCGTTTGGATATCGGGGCCTGCGAGCACATCACGCCACATTTATCAAACCATCGACAAATTAAAGACATGAATGCTTTTCTCAAGTGCATGTCGAGCCTCCAGAAAATTTTTTATTCATAATCGTACATTGTCGTGTGAGTTTTAAAATAGCCATAGTAGCCATTTAATGTCTAAAGGTAGAGGGCATTGTCATATCACGAGAGTTCAATTTAATTTATTTAATAATTTCTTTGGTTGTTGGTTGTATACGATTATATACACATGTATGTATGTATGTATGTACGTATTTATGTAAATATGCTCGTACATGCATCTGTATATAATATCTTCATATGTATTTTAAGGGAAGAGTACACTGCTAGCTTTCATATTTCAATTTGGCTTGTTGGAAAAGTTGGCCTTTACCTGCTCAGAGCCGATAAATATTAAAAACTCTTTTCTATAATTTTTATTATTCGTGTTTAGCGACTTAAACTTTTCTTCTTTGATTGGTGATATGTAATATGCAAATTCACTCTCCTACGGCTACAGACAAATAAATATGCAATAATACATACATACATGCAAGTAAATATCTCAAGATACAATTGTATATATTTTTTTAGGTTGACTTATAGACCGCAGACAGTCAATTAGACGCCGACCGTTATATGATATGGGATGCTGGTATGCAAATTTACATTCAAAAATTGTGCATCTGCATACGTATGTTTGTATGCGTGCATATGTATATGTATATACATATTGCGCACCGTCTTCAGAAGAGTCATTTCCGTAAAGAACAAAACTCTTGGCAACGTTCGCAAGAAGAACAGAATGAGAACGAAACTTTCGGTAACGTTTCCATTGAGAACGAAACTATCCAGCACGTTTTCAAGGACGATCAAATAAGAACAAACGTCTGGGGAACATTCTGTGCAAGACAAGTTCGTGTCTTAAGTCTTTCGTTGATTTATGTTATTTGCATAATTATCTTCAAATTCTATTTCGATAAATTTTAATATTTAAACATTTCAAACTAATGAACGCTATGTTAAAAATTTTGTCCTTGCATCCATTAGTCGCGATAAGTTTAGAGAAGATTTGTTCCCGTTTCCTCCTCTGTCAGAAATTTCCTGAGACTTTGCTTCCCAAATTGTTCGAGGGAAAGTTCCATAGACTTTAGTTCTGTATAATTCGTTTTTTCGGTTTTACAATTAGTTTCGATCATACTTTTCATTCTCGGTCCCTGTTTTAAATATTGCACTTGTACGTGCATATGTACATCAGTATATAAAAAATTTAATCTTTTAATCGATAAACTGCGTATTTTAGTCATATTTTATGGCTATTTCATAATATTTATTCTTTAGATGAAAACATTTATTTTATTTTTATATTTATTTATTTGCTCATAATCGTAATTTTATAATATTTGTATTTTGGATTTTCCAAGTACTTCAGGATTTGCAGTATTTTACAGGAAACTGTTCCCGTACGCCACCTTACATTACATTTATTAATGGTGAAAACAGTTCTTCATCTAATTTTTGTAAAACTGAGAAATGCTGGAGTACCTGGAACAGGATTATTATAGCCGATATTTTCAGACTTCAGACTAGGTCAAAAGAACACAAGTATGGTCGAAAAATTTTAATTTCCATAATACCGATTTTTCAGAAAAAATTAAAAAATAGTGATTATTAATAATAATATTACATTATTAATAATAATGGATTGGATGTTGGTGTTTAGCCGAGCTTCTCCTCCGATTTGTCGTGCCGTGCGCCTTGATGTTGTCACACAAAGGGGAGGGATCCACAGTTTTACGCCGACTCCAAACGGCGATTGTATTTGTATGAGTAGCTGTTTTTCATGGCAAAAATAAACGCGGTGGTTTACCATTGTCTGCCGAGGGGGCGACGGCTATTAGAATTTTTATTTATTTTCTTTTTGATGACGGGTTGAACCGTGCTTAGAACCAGACCCTGCGAGATGGTAGCGTGCACTGCTAACCACTAGACCACAGCGGCAGTCTGATAAGATTATTTTTATAAAAATATTCCACAAATAAGATCCAAATATGATTGATAAAATAAGAAGTGATAAAAAAACGATTTCCAATGATCTAAAATAAAGATCTTCGAAATGAAAATCATGACTACCGAAAATATCGATTAAATTTTATATTTGGATAGTAAATAAATATGTATGTGAAACTAAATCTAGTCGATTTTGTTATGTTATTAAAGTTCATTTTATGTTTATTTTATAGTTTCTTAATTTTTTTGTTTCATTATATTTCCATTTATTTCTTTTCCGTTTATTTTATTTTGTTTACTTTTATTCAAATTTTTTAATTAATTTTATTTGTTTATTTTTATTTTATTGTTTGTTAATATTTAGTTGGAAAATATTAAAAAAATTAAAAGTAGTTGTAATTTTTGTCTATGGAAACTTTTATTTCATGCCTAATTACTTTGCACCAGTCACAAGGAGATGTCCCACCAGTCACAACTTTAAATATTTTTTAATATCTCTATAAAGATTACATAAACCTCATTTTTATTGAAAACGAAAGCGTAAAATTCAGATTTTACAACGACAAAACATCGTTCGTGAAGATCAAGTGTTTTGGCGAAAATTCATCTTTGAGTGAGAGAGTAAAATAGAGTTCTTTTCATTGTCCCAACAGTCACATTAATTCAAATGATAGATACAAAAAACTAAGAAATCGTTTGGTATTTTTGTTAAAGCAATTTTATACATTAGTTATCGTTCTATGTTAAAAAATATCTTTAGCTGTTGTATAAGGTCCGACGACATAGCTAGACATTCACAATTGATCACTCTCTGGAGTAAAATGTCCCACCAGCCACAAAGGAATGTCCCTATATTTAATTTTTTTCCCATTGCATTATTTTATATTAAATTTTGTTATTTCATTTCGTTTATTTTAATTTTTATTTCCCTTATTTTTTTTGATTTTATCTTATTAATTGCATATAGCACCTTGAACTACATGTATTAAAATGTTGTGAACGGAAAACTTTTATCTTCGATCAAAGCTTTCGTGAAATCAAAAATCTAGAAATAAGCCTACGTTAGTTCTACACAATATGTGTTGTTGAAGGGACTCTTAGAATATCCCAAATTTTTATAAACGTTGTGGCAAATGCCACAATTTTCCTCGCTGCACAAATACATATGTATGTATAATGTGTGCATGTAAAAAATGCTATCATGCATTCAAGTACTTCCCCATACAACTTCAATTTAATTCAGCATTCCGCGCCACTTAGCACTAAATTGTTTCTCATTTTATGCAATAATTTCTTTATATGTGCATTTACGTATATGTACATATGTATGTACGCAATAATTCAATGTACATTTGTATGCATATATGTGCATGTACATATGCAGTGAATGCTATATACATACACACATATTCATATGTAGTACATATTATACCTCTTATAATATTCATTAAACCTCCCTGTTGTAAGAAAGATTAATACATTGTGTTGATTCGTTCTGATTACTTCTAATTGAGTTTGGCCGTTTTGAACTTTCACGAAACGAATTTTGGGTGAATTTTATTATTATACTAAAAAATACTCGGCGCGCTTCACTGCGCCTTAAAAGTATTTTTGTGTTGTTTTATACCCGAATTGTAATATTTCATTTATTTTATAAATTGATTTAAATAAAATTGTTCAAACAGGCGGCAGCCGTCCTCAGAAACGTTTTCGGCAGTAAACTTTCCTATAGCTCTTCGGTTTGATACCCATATTGAATTCAAATAAAATTTTAAAAAATGTGGCAGTCTCCACAAAAACATTTTCGGCTGCAAGTCTTCTTAAACCTCTTTCTTTTAAAAGACAGGGCATGAATCACGTATNAAAATAAAATGTTTAAAAATGTGGCAGTCTCCACAAAAATATTCGGCTTTAAGTCTTCTTAAACCTCTTTCTTTTAAAAGACAGGGCATGAATCACGTATGACGATAATCGTCTGGACGATATCGTGCTGAGATTTTCTTTCTTCATGAAAACCAGAAATTGTTGGATCTTTTGTGCGATATCGTCCACTCAATTCCAGTTTGCTTTACGTAACAGCAAAATAAATGCATGAATCAGTGTTTTGACGACATCGTTTTGTCAGTATCGTTTGAACGACAATCGTTTCAAAGTTACGTGATTCATGCCCAGAATAAAATATTTACTTCATTTTATCAATTACCTTAAACTGCAATTTTCATACAGGTGGCAACTCTCTATATTTTCCTCAAACCTTTGATATCAATTAACACCTTTTACGTATGTACCTGCATACAGCTATATGTACGTGCATATACTTAGGAAGGCATATTGATCTAAATTCGCTTTACCGCAACCACAACGGGCTACTTTATCATAACACCTCCACCTCGAAATGTACAAACATACATACATACATACANCGCTTTACCGCAACCACAACGGGCTACTTTAATATCATAACACCTCCACCTCGAAATGTACAAACATACATACATACATACATATGCGATTTGTATATTTATATACATATGTAAATGTATATTAAGTACATCCAGACATATATACATAGTTATGGTATCTAATTTATGTTTCACTTCCTTTGTTCATTACACAGGTGTCGGCATGGTGTTGCGTAAAATGGGCAACAGTGTTAGCCCCACCGTTGAACTGAAGAAGGATGGTGATACCTACACATTCACCACCACCTCAACGTTCAAAACCTCCTCTATCAGTTTCAAACTGGGTGAGGAATTCGATGAAGAGACACTTGATGGGCGCAAAGTGAAGAGCGTCATCACCTTGGATGGCAATAAATTGTTGCAGGAACAGAAGGGTGACAAACCCTCAACCATCATTCGTGAGTTCACCGACTCCGAATTGGTGACCGTAAGTGTTGAAAATCACATAATTTCTGTTTACACAAACAAACATTTTATTTTTTTACTTACAGACTCTCACCATAAACGACATAAAATCCGTCAGAGTGTACAAGGTTGTTTAAACGCGCGGTGCGCCATAAGTAAAAACCAAAAGACAACAGCAACAATACAAAAAAGAAACTATTTAAATTTAAAAAAAAAAAATGCCACATCTTGCGATAAACTAATGATTGAAATACTTTTATCATACACAGCACATTATGTAACTACGTATATACATATAAAGATATATATATTTTTTTGGATTTTGAATATTCCAATTTTGTTTATGACTGATCATTAGCTGATTTTATTTTTATTAAACCATGAAATGTAACTAAGAGTATGAAGTTGTTATTAAATAACAAAAGCACTATTTTTATATGGTTAAGCGGTTAATGAAAAGGAAAAAATGTACTGTTAACTATACGCGACAATTTTTAGACATGCTACACACAGATATACATACGGTGTATTGTTGGAGAAAACAGTTTTAGTTGCTAATGCATTTAATTGTATTTATATTTTTGAATTTAAACTTTTATCATTGATAAATATGTATTGTAATTACGCACAAAACTAGACAAGCTAACAAGTATGTGACCTTTTGCATTCATATAAATAAATAAAGTAAAATTATGCGTATCATAATAAAAAAGTGTTATGTGTAGATTTTATATTAAATTGCACAACTGCGTTGAAAGGAGGATTTTGTGATGTATATTTCTTCAATATTTGTATGTTTTCAAGGTAACCTTCAAGGTTTCAATTGTAACCTTAAAGACCAACTACACCATTCCCAGTTGGATTTTAGAAAGGGTCAATTGGATGTTAGAAAAGAACGAGCCAATTGGATAAAGTGAATTTTATAAGTTTCTACATAACATTTGCAGTAATCAGATTTTATGTGCGGTATTTGGCCTTTCAATATTTTGCTCACTCCTTATTAACCGAATTCTTTTATATTACACTCATACAGATTTTATTCTTCTACGTATTTTGAACCGTTTGGTCGGTTTGGACCGGAACCAAAAGGCTTCGCCAGTTGCCCCTCTCCTTTGGGGATTCGCGCCAGTTGTTCGTCCTAAGCGCGAACCTCCTCCACTTGGCCCTTCCATTGTGTGCGGATCTAAGGATCTTTTCATCCATGCGTACAACAATTCCAAGCCAGCGCAATCGTTGTATTTTTATGCGCTTAATTATTTCCATGTCGTTGAAAAGCTCGTACAGTTCGACATTCCTTCTTCTTCGATACGTGTCGCCAACGCGAACAGGGCCATGGATCTTGCGTAGAATAGTTCTCTCGAAAGCACCCAAAGCCTTCTTTGTTATTGCAACGGTGGCTCTTCGTACCGATTTTAGCGGGACAGTACGGATTTTGGGAAAATTATTTCGTCGAATATTTTTTTTTTTAAGTCGGGACGCATAAGTGCCCCGCTTTTCATATTTGTACCGCCGATTAAGTCCCGATTTTCAGTAATCTCCTTGTACTCTGACCCAAAAACAAATTTTCATACAAACGTGGCAGAACTTTGTAATCACAAAGAACATAAAACTATAGTGGAGCCATAGCCTGCATTCTTATTTTCTATGATCTTTGGTTATGTTTTTTTGCCAGACTGGTACTCTAGCTGTATTGCAGTCATCATTAGTGTAAAATTTTTTGTAAGGTTTTTGTAATTATTTGTTAAGTTCTGTTTTGTTTTTAATGAAACGATTCTAGCCTGATTTTAGTGAAATTATAGAAAATAATACTAGTTCCCTCAAAAAATGCGTGGATATGAAAAATATAAGCAGTAGATACAGCGGCAAACACAACCATGTGAATCAAAAATTAGCAAAACTCGATAAAGATTCATCAAAATTTGAGCTTTTTACTTAGGTTTCCTAGATTCATTCTGAGTATGTAGTTTTGTAGCGAATTCAATTTGAGTATGACGAAGTGCAAATTTTAAGTAGCAAGAATTTTGCGTTGATTTTTGGTACATTTTTTTGTTGACGGTGTTGCTTATTTTCTCCATACAAAAAAATTATCGAAAATACTTGTATTAAAGAAAATGCGCGAGCGAAAAATTGCCAAAAATCAACGGTAATTCCAAGCACCAATGAACTTGCACCTTTTTATACTTAAATTTAATGACATACAAAACTGCATGCTCAAAAAAAATTCTAAAAACCTGATTAAAATTTTGATTTGCTAAAATTCGTCGATTTTTTATAAATGTTCTACGGAGTTTGAAATATAGATTTACATGGTTTATTTTAAGATATTAAACTCTATTTTATTTTATAGTATCCAAAACTTGCTAAAAATGTCTTTTGCTTATTTGCATTCTCGCCACCGTATATATTGAGTGAGTACATTTGTACGATAGTTTTTCAATTTTTTTTTCGCTTTTTTTGTCTTAACTAAAGCTGTATAAAAAGATGTTA